TACTCGTTTTTGAGAAGAAAAAGCAAACTGCAGCAATCTCACAGATTTTGACATTAGACTCTAAAGACGTGGCAACGTCGCACTACGCGCTGTATATGTATGTATAGCAGTATAGGCTGCGTTCCGATATTCACTCGCAGTACTGCAAATCTATAATTTTCTATACTTTTCTATACTACTATATATACATTTTTACTTTTGAATGATGACAGCTGTCTTAGGCTATGTGATTATGTCGGACCACCGTCGCGGGTTGCTTGGCAGTTCACTGCAGCCAACAGTCAATGCGGTGTTGTCATATCTTCTTGTATTATTTACATTAAAAAATTGTTTTTAATTTTTAGCGTATTATTAGCATTTTAAAATAATATTTTATGCTATTGTGTGATATTTTTGACTATATACAACCAACACTTTCTGTCTATATGCAGATTACATATGTCAGATTTTTGGTTTTAGCAGTTGGATTCTGGGCAAATTCAGAGCTAAAAGTTTTTAACTGCTATTAAGAATATTTATAAATACGCTGTCAATAATTATAAAAAGAGGTTGAAGTTATTTAATCCAGTGACATTAACATCTTTGTTATAATATTCAATAATAGCCAGCCGTTAAAGTATGCATACAACCGATATATATTGAATTTTTAAGATTACTGTATTTTTTGCTGGGAAGGTATACGTAATACATCCTTAATACATGCTGCATGTGTAATGCCTAGGACTGGTGATTTTCCTCGAAGGCTTTGACATTCGATCTTTCGATATCTTCGAAGCTTAGTAATCAGAAACTGCAGAAGATTACATCACCATATCTGGCAAATTTTAATATTCAAACTCATAACGTTTCGACTATGATTTTTGGTCCTTTTCAAGTGATATGTTATGTCAGTAAATCAGTATGGTAAATTAAAAGAGCTGATTTTAATTTTACGAACGACCGAACATGACACGTAATCAGTCGGCCAGACGACTTATTATAATAATCAGTATTGGGATAAATACATGGAAACCATACGATAAGCATAAATAAGATAAACAATGATAAGAAATAAAAACATCAACGCAAAGTTACGTCACACTTTCTACACACATGCCTACATTTCTTGTTTTTCTTTACAACGTCATTTAGTTGTTTATTAAGTTTTCCATGTAAAAGATGCAAAGTTTAACGAGTTTGACGCTTCTTCCTGTGCCTACGAATTTTTTTATTCTTCCGTCTTTTCACGTGTTAAATTCCTGTTTAAAATAATAAATAGAATATGATCAGAGAGTTACATTAGATTACATGCAATTTCAATGTAAATTAATAAGACTCATTTACATTGAAATTGTAATCTGATATAATCTGATCATATTCTATCAGCTATCTAATACTTTAAGCAGAGATGTCAACTTTCTCTACGCAACTAGCTTTTAAATTCCGCACAAGTTCAGTTAAAGTTAATTAAAACAATATTTGTGTATAATAAGTGAAATATAGCTTTAGCTGAAGTCGCTTTATCTCCTCTCTTGCCACTTAATGAGAGAGAAAGGTTTCCTAGCGCTATTGTCCTCTCCGTTTTGTCTTGTTCTCAAGCCGCCCGCAAGACGGCGCAGTCTATGAGTATAAGTCTATGGCCGGTATTCATAGTCAGATCTTATATTCAAGATTATCTTATCGTTATCTTAAGATACTCCGTAGACAATGAAATGTTCCATACAGCAACTTTAGATAAATTCAAGATGGTTTTGAATATAAGATCCGACTATGAATACCGGCCTATGATCTGGACATGAGACTAGTCACATTTTTCGCGCGGCTGCCGCATTAATACAATTTACTCTGTCGATTAATACAAGTTAATCAAGGAATCCGTTGCTGATCCGCTTATTCCGTTTTGTGTAGGTTTTTTTCGGTTTTGCGTGCTTAAAGATTTCTCGCTGTTTACATACATAGAGCAGCCGACTATAGTCGAGTCATTTGTTGATTATCAATTGGCAATAACTTGACATTCAAATAGACTTTGAAGTCGACTTTAGACTTCTTCTGCCGACTGACAGTCAACTAATAGTCGACTTGGTGCTGTTTGAAAAATTATAGTCACCGAAAAAATGTTACTGACAATGAGTTGAGTTACAGTTACAGACGGAGAAAAAGTAACGAAGTTAAGTTAGAGTTACCAAAAACAGTAACTGTAACTATAACTTCGTTATAGTTACAACCTACATAGCATATAACATTACGTAATATATCAATAATATTATAATATTGCAATGTAACATTACAGTAATATTACTAATATAATACATTTATATAATACATTGCAATATTACATTAATATTACTGGTATGTTGCATAGAAATTATCACAGTAATATAACAATAATATTGCTGCAATATATCAGATTCAAAGTAGTGCAAGATGATATCAAATTACTTTTTAATTACGTCTCATTACGTTTTATTATGTTATTAAGATGCCATGAAGACGTCATTTAATATCACGTTGCTATTTGGCACTTTCCAATGTATATCGCATTGAAGTATGAATAAAATATTATAAGGGTAAGTTGTAATATGACAATAATCATCTTTGAGAATGATTACAAAAACGCACTATTAAACAATTATTGGAGAGATTATACAGCCTGTGACTATCTTTTCTGTAGGGCCGCCATATTCAGGTTTACCCTAAATCTAATTCCTTGCAATATTACAGTAATATTATAGTGACATATTACAGTAATATTACGTGATATATCACAGTAATATTACTGTAATATGTCACAGTAATATTATTGTGATTATCACAGTAATATTACTATACGATTGTCTCGGTAATATTTCATTGGGCGGACATTTTAATATTACTGTGATACATCAGTAATATTACAGTAATATTTCCGATATATTTTATTGTAATATTACATTGGAAATGTAATATTACAATAAAATATATAATACTGTGATATTACTGTAATACTACGTGCTATGTGGGAAGTAACGTGTTAACTCAATTTATTAGTTAACTCGAGTTGACTCGTTACTTCCCAACCCTGACTTTTGCCAACCTAGTAAACTGCGCACCAATTATTTGTCGGTTTGAAAACAGATTTTTGTTGAAATAGTAGAAAAACAAAATAGGTATTTAATACTAATATCCAACGTGCAATTTTTTAAAAAAAAGTTGAACTTGGATTGTCTTTGAGGATTACTGGTCGCTCGACATTTCAAGCGAGGTTATTGAAAAAATGATCGAAAAAGTCTACGAATAAAATATCATTCCGGAAGTGTGCGGAAGATTCTGAGCATCGAGAGTTGTTGATTTGATATTCGACGTGTGTCAAATGCTCGAATTTTGTCCCGATTTCTCGCGCACTTCGGCACCTCTATTGCTGGGAAGTACGATAGTATCGAATCACGGAACTCACGTTGTTCGTCAACTGACACGTCACACTGTTGCGATAGAGCAACTCCAAGCGCGGCGAAGCTCGTACCGCTACCACCAACCACGATAGACTGATTCAGATTTGTTGACTCACGAACTATCTCTCCCTGCTATCGTACCGCGTGCGCTTCGCATTGTGCGCTTCTTTGTCACATCGTGGGAATAGCCTTCACGCAAAACGATAGATGTTATGTAATACTTATAATTAGGGCCCAGATGTTTGGACGATTTCTTGGTGTGCGCGCGGAGCTTGTGAGTGAGTCGCGCGCTCGTTGAAGTGAGATACTAATATTTCGATCGTCATTTCTTTATCGACCGTCGATCCCTTCGGAAAATGTTGCCATTTCATTTTAGCGAGTGCGCGACTCACTCACAAGTTAGAGGTGCACACGAGACGAAACAAGACAAGATTTCTGCAATCTCGATCGTGATATCCAAAAATCTGAAATGAATGATATCGATCTAGAATTTTCGAGAATCTCGGACATGTATAATAATCTCCCTCAGTATTATCGAATTTTCTAACAAGTATAAAAAAGAAATTATTTATATTTAATTTGTCGTAATCAATCTCGTATCAATTTAAACAATCAATGAGTAAATATTACAATATAATTAAGCACAGATAAGATTAATTGATATTTAATTCTTGAATTAAACGTATCGCGATAAAATTTAACTCGAAGTTCTATATTCTAACCAGCATTTGTATGATTGCGTTAATGAAAGAAAAATTTCAAGCTTATACATTTTCGTTAATAAACGAAAAACTTGAAAAATATATATTTTAACATCGATACCGTATACGGTTATGTGTACAAGAAACGTAACTGAGTTAACGGTTAATTGAGATACAATCGTTCGAAAATAATTAAAAATTCAATATTACACATGTATAATTATCTTCATCCTGGAACCAGCCAACAACCCACATAGCA